TCCTGGCGTGCTGCAGCTCTGGGCCTTTTTGCTTTTTGCTGGGGCTGGGCTTCATGCAGCGCAAAGAGGCTTCCTGGCGTGCTGCAGCTCTGGGCCTTTTTGCTTTTTGCTGGGGCTGGGCTTCATGCAGCGCAAAGAGGCTTCCTGGCGTGCCACAGCTCTGGGCCTTTTTGCTTTTTGCAGCCTCAGAGCTGCACCACACCAGGAAGCTGCTTTTTGCTGTGCGAAGCCCAGCCCCAGCCTAGCCAAGCAGCATGGTGCAGAGGGGCTTCCTGGTGCACCATGGCTCTGGGGCTGCAAAAAGGTTGCAGCCCCAGAGCCACAGCTCACCAAGAAGCCCCTCAGCCACAGCATATATTTTCCTTGGCCTTCCTGAGCTTGCGTTGCACCACAGCCCTCCCCCAACTCATGTGCGGCCTGTGCCAACCCTCCCAGGCCTCCACCATCCGCCCACAGCACCCGCGTGCTTCTTACCTGGGACTCCTGCCTCTTCCCACTTAACACCCTCAGGTCTTGGGCTTATGAAAGCAATTGAGACTACCCCGGATTGCCATCACTAACTGATGCAGTCACGTAACATTGCGCTTTATGACTGCATTGCTTAGCAACAGAAATTCCAGTCCCATATGTAGTCATAAATCAAAGATTATCTGTATTTCTTCTAACTCTCTGCTTAAAATATTGAAACTACCCCATTAAATAATTAATGTTCTAAGCTGAAAGGCTGTCTCAGAATGAATGGCCAATGCATTCTCTATATTAAAAATGAATAACTAGAATAACTATATGTGCTATTTAAAAAAAAATAATTTATACTGCTATCCATTTTAACACTTAAAGAAAAAGATTATTTTAATGAGACTGTTAAATAAAAAAAAAACTCTACAGAAGGTTAGAAGAAGGGGGAAAAAAAACAGTTGCAACTGCAAAAAAGAGAAACAAGGAAACCCAGGACTTTTAAGAGAAAAGAAAAAAAAATCTTTGCAAAATTCAGCAAATAGTTATGTGAACTTTCAGATGTCATCCAAATACATATCAAGTAAAAGGTAGCAATACAGGCAACTGCTATGCTTGAATGTGGGTGTACTTTTTGAGCAACCTACCCCAAGAGTCCTCCAATAAGGTTGCCTCCAACCAGACCTCTCAAGCCCAAGTGCATTCTGAACAAGCCTCCAGTACAAGCTAGAAATAGAATACAATCAGACAAAGCAAGGTCTCAGTCACAGAACTCTAAGATGGCTATTTTGTCATTTCAGCTTCCTCCTTTTCCCCCATCTTGTGTAATGAAGTGTAACTCCAAGGTCATACACACCATAAATTCAATCCCAAATATTTAATTCGTACAAGACAGAGCAACATTCTCTGCAGCAAACATGAGGCATGGATGCTATATGCCTCCATACACTTCTATATAGCCATACGTATATTTTTAAATGCCTTTATACATGTAAATATGACATCTACAGTTAGATGTGTGTGCAGGAAATAGCAGCATAACACGGGTGTACACATAGGGATGTCCCATCTTGGTATCTAATTCCAGAGTGTAGACTTTACTAAAATAACTTAGAACATGGCCTTTCTACCAAGTTTCTTTTTAAAATCTTTTACAATATTTATGTGGTATAAACAATTATACTCTTTTCAAGTTGTTCTTTGCTAATATGACTACTCATATTAGGACTACTAACTGTAAAAAGTTGCCTCCAATAGCATACTCAAGTGAAACTGCTAGCAGATCTCATTTCGGTGAAAAGGAAAATAGTACTTCCCTCCAGACGTATAAATGAAGCAGCAGATTCCAGGATCAATTTGATGCTCCATTCTGCATTAGGAAAATTCTGGGCTCAATAAGTACACAAGTGGGAATAAAGAACAATCCTAAACTGCAACTCATTTCATTTATTGTAATTGGGCATTGGAGAAGGTAACAGTAAGTTTTAGATTATTCTTCGGGAATTTTCAGAAGCTTGAAAAAAATATGAAAAAAAAAGAGAAAAACAAAGGAAAGCTGTAATATCTTAGAGTATGTTCTGCTATACTGTGTGTGTGTCTGTGTGACAGGAGTGGCAGCAATATGGAGGATCTGTGGTCAGTTATTCTACAAACTTGAAGTTGTCAGCAATTTCTGGAAGCAATTTTCTTTTTCAACTCTGCCCTCTACAAAGAAATAAGTGAAAAAGAGGGAAAACACCATTCATTTCAGCGTGCAAGTTTTTACAGGATACTTGCATAACTCCAGCTGAAATAAAAGGAGATTATGGAGCAGGGCACAATAAACTATTTATTTTATCTTATTAGCTACTAGAATTTTTAGGGAAACTTCAGTAGAAATTCAGCAGGGCCTTTTCTAAATTCAGTTTCATAACAGTTTATACCCACAGAACATTTAGATCAGGATCTATGGGATATATATCTTTTGAGTACCTGAATAACTCAAAACATAACCAAGATCAAAAAGTAACACTGACGTTAATTTTCTCTAATCAATAGTCTTACCTCCAGCAATGGTATAGTGACCAAGGGTGCTTTTATCACGATATACAGACAAGCCAGTATTCACTGTGCTGTAAGAAGGAGAAAAATAATAAGAATTAGCAAGAACTTTAATTCTTCTTGCTAATTCAGAATTAATACTTCTTGAAGAAGCATTAATTCTGAAGATTCAAACTTTGGCTTGTTATTTTTCTGGCCAGATACTTTTGTAATCTGCAAAGAAAGTATTATTTTCTTAAATGGGATGAGAAAATTATATATATGTGAAATGCTTCTACATCACAGTTCACATATGAATAAGAAAACACCTGTTTCTCAGTGAATATATTTATGGCTTGAAGCATATTATTCATGAATATCTACCCAGAGGGAGTTTCATATATAATGTAGACTTTATTTAGGGTAATGAGTGTACAGTACTACTTCATGGATTTAGGGCAATTTAGCAAAATGAGATAAGAATTTTAAATAATGTAGTGACTTAATGAAGGTTTTAAGGTTTAATAATAATGCATTGCATTTCTATTACCAAAAAGAAACATTACCCTGGATTTAAGATGATCCTGTCTCAAAGGAGTATTAGACAGAAAAAAGAGTTATAAACATATCTAAAAATCTCACAAAAACCCAGCTTTCCAATCTTGCCACTTCCTCCTGAATTCAGTCTTAGAGATTCTTCTCCGACTTGCACACCTGCCCCCCAATTCTATTTGTATGTATAGAGAGCTATGCATGATCCTTGTTATCTAACCTCTTGGCACCCACAATTGCTGAGCTGGAACAGAACCCAAATAAATAATGAGGCCATGTGCAAACAACTATTTGCACTGGGAAGAAGTCAGGCTCACTTCTGGGGAGCAAAGGACCTACAGCCAATTTGAAAGGTAACCACAGTTCTTAGAAGGTTAACATTCTAGGCACTGTGGGGGACGGAAAACTGATCTATATGAAAGATCAATAACAGTGACAGTCAGATTTCCAGGTGGTCTGTATGTCCCCACAAAAAGTAACCCTGAAATCTCCCTCGATTTTGACAATCTTGTTTTGTTTTGGAAGGGGATATCTGGGCCATTATACAATTGCTCCTGGAAGCAGAAGACACAACCAAGCCCTGAGTTTTGCTTAGATCAAGCCTATTGCTTGAGAAGAGGAATATGCTGTTGAGAAAATAAAAGAGGGCACTATACTATTAGAAATGCAGGAAACGGCAGAAGGGGCATAGTGACTTTAAGGCAGTCTCATTTTGCATCTAACTGCTAACTGCTAATAATATTGTGGAATCAAAATGCAGGACTCAAAGGCAAAATAATCAAGGCTTCACTGCAGTGCTTATTAGGCAGTACGTACTGGAGGGGGACTCCACCAAAGGTTAGTGGGAGACACTCCCCTGTAGGCAAAATGGATGCCCTGGTATTTATACAGTTCTACAAGAAAGGGGAACGGAAAAGAACACATACA